AACAGCTTTGATGGCAATTACTCATTGACCCTTGTGGGTTCCCCACAACACTGCACTTCTCGTGGGCAGGGGCTAACTCTGTAAGCCACCAAATTACCCCCAGGATGATAACTGTGCTCGAGGATACATGCTGTTAATTCATATTATTTTGTCTTGAAACCCTGTATCACTTTAAATGTCCTTGCTTTGGTTTGTTTATACTTGTGATACTGGTATGCTGCTATGGTTCTATTTTTTGTTTATTTGTGTCTCATTTACTACGCTCTTTAAAATAAAAAAAATGAGAAACTTATGTAAATAAAAAAAAGAATGCATGCTTGAAGTAACAGTGAAATGAAACAAAGGAGTGGAGTTTTACAAGATCTTCCCTTCTGCCTCCCAAAAGTTGCACTCCAGTTATAGCTTTTCAGGAAGGAAGGATTGTCTTTTTGTTGAAGCTTGTCCATAGTTCTTCCAGTCTGACAAGGATTCTCAAGGAATCTGGACCAAGGGTGGGTAATGAGGGGCAAACAAGGACCCCTCTAAGGATCGCTTACTTGGGAGGAAAAGAGGATGAAGGCAAGAGGGACTCTTCCCATGACCTTGGAGGATAAGTGATAGGAAGAATGAAATGGAACTCCAGTGCCCCTGTGCTAGTAACAGCTACCCTGATGAAGGCTAAAAGGGTTGGGTCAAGTCTGCCATGGCTCATCTTGGCAGCTGCACATGGATATGGCCTGCACAATTCAGAATTTGAGTTTTGAATCTAAATCTTTATAGAAAGCCTGAGTGAGCCAAATCTAAGCATGCAGGATGCAAATTCCAAGAAATTTTTAAAAATATAATGACCTTTATTCAAACCCTAAGGCAAATAGCATTTAAAGAGGACACTGAGATGCATGGTGATTGCTGCCATTTCTTAACTCTAAAATAGAGGCTGAGCCACTCCATCTCACACAAGACTATTATGTAGAACAAGCCATAAAATATGATGGCAAAGCACTTTGCACACATAAAATACGACATGACTGATACTTACTACTACTTCCCAGCATTTAATGTCTGGAAATAAATGTCTACCATTTATAATAATTTTATGGGACTTTGATAGCTTCTCTTACCAAACATGGAAGTAGAAATTAAACTATATCTATTGGAAGCCATAGATTGCCTTGTAGGTGGAACAGCCTAGATATAATAAATTTGTTTGAGTCCCTCACATTGAAAAACAAATTTGTTTGTATGTCTGGAAGATGATAAAGATAGATGTTACAGTTTGGATTTTAAATGTTCTCCTAAGGCCTGTGTGCTAAAGGCCGGGTTACTAGCCTGACCACTAGCCTTGATCACTAGACTGAGGCACTATTAGAGATGGAAAAACCTTTGGAGAATGGGGCCTGGTAGAAGCAAGTTAGGTTGCTGGGGGTGTGCACTTGAAGAGAATTTGGGGATGCTAGTCTCTCCTCTCTTTTTGCTTCCTGGCCATGATGAAATGGGCAGCTTTGGTCTGCCACATAATCCATGTCAGGATGTACTGTTTCACCATGGACCCAAAAGTAACAGAGCTAAGTGATTATGGACTGAGACCTCTGGAACTGTGAACCAAAATGAACTTTTTCCTTCTTTTAAGTTGTTTATCTCGGGTTTTGAGGGGGCATGATGACAGAAAGCTGATTAACATAATAAATATACTTTGCCTGCTATATTTCTCTACCATACACTAGGTAGTTAATATGTGCTCAGTGAGTAAGTTAATGGTTGCATGTGGTTCCAAATGAACTGACATTACAAGCTTCCAGGTAGAGTGGAAGTCATCAAACAGTGTCCCTAACACTGACACCTTGCTTTACGACTGGACTAAGATCACAAGCATTGTGAGGGTACTAGTCCAAGTTATTCCAATACCATGCATTTCTCTGAAGGTTAGAGCTATCAGGTTTGAATCTTTTCTCTTCATGAAGTATAAAAAGGTTCTTATTTTGCATTTGTGATTCAATTAGCCATTTTCTTTTAAAATCTCAGCACAATTTTATAGGCCAGATTGGAATTCTCTCCACTTTACTTCCCCACAAACCAACCAACCAACCAACAAACAAACAACATCATCTTCTTTCTCTGGACATCAAATCCCTCATTGCTAAAGAGTAGCCACTAGTCCAAATGACTCTTTTCAACTTAACACTGCACGGTTCTGTTAAGATACGTTGTTCTAGTGGCTGCCAATGGAATAGATTCATTTCAAGAAGAAAACAGAATGAGGAAGGAGCTGCTGAACAGCCTTAGCCACTTAATACCACGCTTGACAATGCAATTCATCTTATCCTCCTTCCTGAATCACAGCCTCCAATATGCTGCCTACCCTGACAGCTGGGGCACCATGTGCTGAATTGAGGCAAGATACGCATTTTGCAACCACACTGTCACACCCACACAGGAAATCATTCACCTTCTGCTGACCTAGCAACCAAATTGTAAGCTCAGTAGAAAAACTGGAGGTGGTATAGGATCACAGGGGTGGAAAGAACAAAATTGCTCTGTGCAGGGTCATCATCCAGATTTATTTATGGCTCCTAATTTAGACCCCTGATGCATGAGAAAAAGAAGGATGATATTTACAGCAGGGTGATGTTTGAAAATCCTTAAAATTATTGCATATTTCCAAGATTTTCCTTGTAGCCATTTAGCAAGACCAGGAGCCTGCTCGGCAAATGCTGTGCTGTCATTAACTAGAATAGAATGGGAGGGGGCAGAATGTGGAAATGCCACACGCTTTCCTTCAGATTTTATTTAAGCGCTAGTCATAGCTCTTCATTTTGAGCTTAAAACAAAAAAGAAGTCAAGATTGACAGCATGACATATTAACATTGAGCACCAGCCAACAGGTCTATAAAAATTAAGTACTCCTTTTGCTCTTCTGTGTGGCTTCTCTTTTTGGAATCGAACCAGCTCTGCTTGTCATTATCCAATCAATATGGGCAGTGGTGATCATGGATACAAGGAAACAGTACTGATGTGTTCTCCAGCAACTCCCACCCGTTTCTCTTTCTTACTTCTTGCTGAAATATATGTTTGCTCAACAAAAAGCTTAACTCTGTAGGACCCTTGTCCTCATGCATCAAGACCGCGTCCATCTGGCCTAGATTTGGTACTCTGTGTACATGTTAATCATATTTGTTCATTGCATATCTTAATGTGTAACACTAACCAAAATCTGTTTCATCTCACATTTACTGATATCCCCAGTGTTTGGAAATACAGGTACACAGTGGGCTTTAAAGAAGCAAAATGTGCAGCTTTCTGCTGTGTTTGGTTTATTGGAAACAAAGTGGAGAAAAGAAGAGTTTTAAAAAAGAGCTATAATAGTGTGTTGATGAGGCAGGAGTTTGTTAAGGGAAGGAAGAGGGAGGTGAAGGGGCCACTAGAATATTTTTCTTTTGTACTTCTCATCTCATCTATTCAGAGCTAGAGGCATCATATAGTTTGGCCTAACTCAGGGGCTCAGTGGACACATTATTCCTTGTTCTCTTACACTGCATGAACCTTCAGATGACTTCGGTTGATTAAAGTCAGCAGATAACTTGGGGTATCAGGATGCTAACATTTTGCTAGGTGCATCTGTTAAAGGGGTGACTAGTGAACTGGAAATTGCAGCATGAGGACCTTCTTGGCAGACCTATTTTGCATAGGCTTTACCAGATGGATGTGCTTCCATCCACTTCCTCTCCAGTCTTGAAGAATTCAGTCTACAAGAGCCCAGAGTAGTAAGCTCTGGCATCACTTGCTGCCCTTGGCAGTGGTGTGCCTACTAGTCTGGAGTCTTGCTTCAGCCATGTTGATTAGGTTTTTTTCCTCTAACTCCTGTTTCACTCACCATTCATCTCCCCACTGTGCTTCAATCCCTCTTCTAAACACTGGATGACTTGACCACTCATCTGCTTCACCTCTCGAGGGGTACAGTCCCAGAAATGACCAAGACTAGTGGCATTTATCTCCACTTTTATGCCATTCCCACTTTATCCTATGACCAAGAAAATCTACTGGGCAGAGTTTTTTCTAATCCAAACTTAGAAGACTTCACCCTTTTAGAAATACCTTGAGGATATGTGCATGCATGTGAGGTCCTTCGAAGAGAATATAAATGTAGGTATGGGATGTATCATGGTCTTTCAGTTATTCTGCTATTTTCTCCATTTGTCAGTAGAGAATAACTGAGGCTTATAAATAAGAAAAAAAGCTTGGCTGTGTTTGAGAAGATATTGTGGTGTTTCAAACATAGCCTTTAAACTATGACAAGGCTCATCAAGACAAGGATGGAGAGGGAAGATCTTGGAACCACAGTGTGAGGTTAGACTACCCCATTGCCTTTCCTCTCCTTACCTGGCTTGGCACAGCTTCTCAGGCACGGATCTCAATTCCAGCACTGATTATTGTTGCAAATTAGCCTAGGGTTCTTTTGCTTTATTCAGATGGAAATTGTGAATCAGCAAAGTACAGCACTGCTAGCAGTCCTGATGTCACCAGATGACACTGCACAGTGCTGGACACCAACAGCCGACACAGCCAGCTGCTGGTCACTGTGAATGCTGGCCAATACCACCCAGTGCCAGTTGATGCTGGACACTGTAGATAGACTCTACAGGGTGCTGATCTCTGTCTTGGTCTTCACTGGCTACTGGTCTCTGGAGCCTTCGGTGTTAACAGCTCTGAATGTTTATTGCCCTCTGGAAACAACCACTCTGTCTCTATTTAAGATTCAGAAACCCCAAATAGATTTATAGGACATTGGGATCCCACATGGCTTGAGAAATAAATAATGAACAGTCTACAGGAACACCAAAGAGAATCTTCTTTTCGTCAAGGCCTGTGCTGCAGCACAGGGGGTCAGTATGTAGGAAGGAGTCCTCTTAGACACAACTCAAGATGTTACTGGGGAATGCAGCTGCAGGCCTGTTTCAGTGAGGGACAGGGCTCAAAGCTTGCTGTGAATGTTGGGTACGAAAATAAGGAGCCCAGAGTCCTACCTTCCTGATCTTAGCAACTCCAGGGTGGTCTTTCCCTTCTTCAAAAAGGCAACAGTATCCTCCTGTGAAGTAGAAGAAGTCAGGGAGAGGCACTACGTTACCTGTCTGGCTGTGCTCATGTTGGAGTGGAGAATAGTGGTTAGATAATCAAGCAGGACGCTGCTAGATAGCTAGGGAGGATACTGAAATGAATTGTCCCAGCACATTCGTGTAGGGGTGAAGGGGAGCAAAGGGAAGTGAAGGGGAAGGTGTACTGGCTGCTGGTCAAGTCTCATCCCCCTTCAGCGGGCACAGGGCAAAATGAGAGAGTCAGGCACTTCTCATTTGTTGCACAACTAGCGTTGATGCAGAATTCCTTGGTTGGGAGCACAGTGCCCCATAGGTCTCCTTACAAATTTCAGGGTCTCAGGATATACTCTTCTGAGCAACTGGCTGCAAATCTGTGGTAGGATGGCAGGTCCCCACTACCTCGATGAGTGAGCTAATTCATTATAATGATTCACAGAATTCAGGAATCCACAATACTTCCATTACCATTTCATAGTAAAAGATATGGATCAGGACTAGCCAAGTGAAGCAACTCATAGTGTGAAATCTGGAAAGATTCCATGGGCAAAGCCTTTATGCCTTCAGGATATATCATATCTCAGCACATCAATGTATGATCACCACCCAGGGAAACTCAGCCACGCTTCTATAGTTTGGATCTGGATTGTCTCTCAGAGACCCATGTGTGATAGGTGTGGTATCCAGCCTTGGAGCAAGATTGGAAAGCAATAGTTCCTTTAATAGGTGGGGCCTTCTGCAAAGTTTTAGATCACTGGAGACCTGTGCTCAAAGACAATGGTGGGAACCTTTTCTCTGTTTCTCCTCCCTGCCTTGAAGGAAGCAGCTTTGCTTTACAGTGTGCTTCTCCATGTGATGTGCTGCTTGCTACAGATCTGAAAACAGTGGGGCCAATTGAACATAGATTGATGTCTCCAAAACTGTGATCCAAAATAAACCTTTTTTCTTTAGAAGCTGGTTATCTCAGGAATTTGTTACAGTGCTGGTAAACTGACTACCATACAGGCTTTGGTGTTAAGGTGTTTTATGGGGTTTTCATTAAGAAGTTATGATTGATTGATTGATTGAATCATTGGCCACACAAATGATCTCAAGTTTGCAGCCCTCCCACCTTCCCAACCTCCGATTGCATGGTTGGTCTTTCTGGAATGGCCAACATCTTGCTGAAACTTTCTAGGGGACAGTCGTCTTGTTAGGTAGAAAGTTAGACTCTAGCAGGCCTGGAGACAGGGAGCTGAAGTCTACTTGAAAAACAAAGAGGGTTTATGCTTTCCCCTGCCTTTTTCCCCTTTGATTTCTTAATCATTAGCTATAGAAAAAATATCCATGCAAATTTGTGGTTTCAAACTTTAGCTCAAGAGAATATGACATTCTCTGAACATGCTGATAATGTCCAGGGCCCATACAAAGTCCGGGCCATGAATTAGGGTGGGAAAAACCTCAAGGTCTCAAAAGAAAGTAAATGGAAACATCTACCTAGAGACCTCTGAAGTAGGTCAAGTAACCCATTTTTCTAGTAAAACAACAATGACCTACAGAAAGGAAAGGATATTTCTTGAAAGACCAAATTAATCATGTGAATATATCCTGAGACTTCACTGGGTGCTGCTGCCATCTTGGCACTTTCCCACCTTCATGCTTGAAGATGTGTTCTCTCTCTCTTGCTCTCACTCTGCCATCTTACAATAAAATGGCTTATGTGCCTTGTCTGGAATCTTTCATCAAAGACACAAAGGATAGAGAGGTGTCACTTGTTTTTCAGGGTATTAGAACTTCACGGTGTTAGGACCTGGCTTCCCTGCTTCCCTGCGACAACCTTATTAACATAAACTCAGATGTGGTACCTGGGATTCCCTCTGCCCCACAAGTAGCAAAGGTACTGCTATTATTCAGGAAATTCAAAGACTTTACAAGCTCTCTCCCAGGAACCTAGACAAAGACCAGATGAATTCTTTGTCAGAGAATACCTGCTTTGTCCTCTCACTAAGATGCCAGCCAGCCTGAGAAGCAATTCCTCAGCCTCAATCATGCATTCTCATTTCTTATTATTTACAGGTAGGCTTCCTTTTATAAAACCTGAATTAAGACTTAGAGGCAAAATCTCATTTTGTTTTACAAATTTGCTTTATCTTGGGTTTTTTTTTAGCTCAAATTCCCCAAGGCATTGAAAATCTAATAACAGCTCTACTGATTCTGCATGTGGAACTCATAGGCACTAGAAGCAGCACTTGGGCCCCTCTCAGCTCAGCTACTTCCTAACAGGGGGGTCTCATCAGCTTACTTTCAGGTTAGTAACCAGACCAAATAATTTTACAGAGTCTCATCTCTGCAAAAATTAGATTCATGTTAACCTTACTGTGTTGGTACTGTTCTCATGGCTCATGAAATTCTTCAGCTGGCCAACAGGACTGCTCATCCAAAAGTGGAGTCAAAAAAGTTATGTAGACAACTGAGGACCGACTGCCCCAAGGCTCTCCCTGCTCTAAGGTATAGCAAAGTGGTCCCTCAAGTCCCACAGTTTGCCAGGAGCTAAGGGGTGTTGGTGATTTGGGATAAATTATTTTTTGTATGTCTATTTCCTCATCTCTAAAATGAGGGTTATAATAGCATTGACCCCTTACAGTTAATTGAAAAACAAAATGATTTAATATATGTAAAGTGCTTAGACATAGAGCCTGGTATAAAATAAGTGCTTTTAAGGTATTAACTCTGTTTTATGTCTTTTGGGTTTTTAATTAAATGTTAACCTTTAATTAACCTACACAACCATATAAATCACTTCCTATTTTAATTCACATTTTACTGATGAGTAAACAGATTTTAGAGAGTTAAAATAATTTGTTTAAGGTGATACATATATCTGCTCTCTGAGTCAGAGTTTGAATACAGACTAAATCCTGCCTGCTTCACTACGTGCTTTCTTGTCTTTCACTTGCTCAAAAGTCAAATTTATGATATCTTTTAAAGTTACAGTTTATGTGTACAAAGGTACATGTGCATGGTCCGGTATCAGGGAAGAGACATCCTTTCTGGAGTGTAAGGTATGGATAAACACAAACCCTGGCTCTCAGAGAAGCTTCTGGAAGCAGGAACTGTGTATGAGAGGGGAGCTTGTAGTGCTATCACCAGACACAGTCCAAAGAGGTCCCCCCAGTGAAGATGGGGAACCTTAACTCATTCCACCCATGGGACAGAATTCAGGTTCTCTAACTTCCATCATAGAAAAAGAATTTTGGGGATGCATGACTAGGAGGCATCAAGGGATTTATCAGGCAGAATTTTAGAAGTACACACCCAAAGAAATAAAGTATGGGACCTCAAGAGGGAAAGCAGTATCTTGCTTCTTGTCATCTCAAACTGGGTATGTAAGGTCTCCGTGGGCTATGTTGAAATGCATACCACTCACGTGTGTTGGAAGCTGAGATATGCTGTTTTCTTTTTAATTGTGTGCTTCTTGTGTAATTAGTACATACTATAAACATAGACCAATAAAAATGAATAAAATAGGGATAAAAATAATAGTTCATTTCCTGAGGACGGGGGCTGGTGGGAGAGAGCACAATTTATAGCTGAAGGACACAGGCCCAGAGCCTTGTTTACAGGCTGATTGTCTTTTCTGGAAGGGGAAGAAAAAGTTTGAGTAACTTTCATGTTCTAAAGCTGCGGTTTTTCTTTGACAAGTACAATTTTAATATTTTGTTTCCTTATCTCCTTTTTATCTGTTTTCCTCTCCTACCTCAGTGCCGGCTCATTAGCCAGCATGCACACCCTGCACGCAGCACACCACAATTATTTCTTAGCCCAGGACCCAGCACCACAAGCTGCCTTCTTTCAGGGGCTAAATGAGCTTTATTTGACCTTCTCTGCAGGCTCCACCTAACAGCAAAGGCTCCTTTCCGCTTGGAATCCCTGAGGAATGTCTGAACATCCCATTCTTCAGCTTTAGCCTTGGAAGACATGTGTTTCCAAAGAAGCCTGTAGCCAAACTATGGTTTTAGGAGAAATCATTTAGCGGCATGCTGATGGCAGAATTGAAAAGGAAGTAGATCAGCCTGAAGGCAGTTTCAGTAGAAGAAAAGGTACATGAAGGTACAGAAGAACAAAACAGCTGGAATTTAGAGGGCTCAGCAAAGGTGAGGGAAGTTGTGTAGATGGGATGAATTAATACAGCCTGGGGCCTTGGGCAAAGCTAAGACTATGTGTGGTGGGTACAAAATTCTGAGCACACACTTGAGAATTGGAGCAAGAAGGCTAAGAAGAAAGGCAGGGAAAGAAGGTTGCACCTGCAATCAGGAAAACATAACCCAACCATCCACCTCCCTACTGGAACTATTTCAGTTGTACCCATGTCAAGGACTCAAGGACATTGCTACTGTGTTGCCAAATTTAGTAGTCAAGGCAGTTTAGTAGTCCTAGAAAACTGATATTCTCAGCTGGGC